AGAGAGAGAGAGAGAGAGAGAGAGAGAGAGAGCATGGGTGCAATTATTACCATCTCCTGGAGACCTTGTTGTAAAAAGCCTTGGGATGGAAGGCAGAGTTATAATGACATATGAAGTGCAATCATCCCCCTGTAATTGCCTGCAACAACACCATCATATAAGCCCAAAAGATAGAAGCGAGAGAGGAGGAGAGAGAAGGAAAGGGCCAGGAGATAGAGAGAGCATCTCTCATCTTCTTCTTTGGGGTAAAAAGATGATCGCCTATCTTTAATTTTAGAGCTGCAGAAAGTTCCTCTGAAAAGAAAAGCTATAAGAGACGCGCCAGAGGCACGCACAGAGATGGCTTAGAAAGAGGACACACCATCGACTACTTCACTCCATCCTCGCTTTCACTACAATTCGATCAGCTTTGAGGCTTATGTATACATATATAGACATGGGTTTGAAAAAGCAAAGAGGAAAGTCAGTGAAAAAGTTGGATAAAGTCAAGTAGATTTATATGCATCGGCTGTTCAAACGTTTCTTTGGGTGGAGGAGTAGTAGATTTCAGATCTCCAGTAAGTTCCTCTCTTTTTCTCTTCTTGGGACTATCAAGCTTTTGAAGCACCATGATGGGGTCTTCATATCTGGATCACTACCACCAAGAAGAGCTTCACGGTTTCTCCTCTTTAGCGACAGTTCCAGCTTTCTATGATCTTGCTAGCAACCGCGAGTGGAACCAAAACCAGCTCTTGTAAGTTAATTCGTACTCAACAAGTTCTTCCACATTTAGCTCCGCCGAATTTTTCTTCCTTCATATATATATATACATATATATATGTATATAGATATGTATATGTATATATATATATATATATACATATATATATATATATATATACAGCGCATCAACGCTTCTACGTGTTGGAAACTTTAATTGAGTCAGAAACTTTTATCTAATTCCTAGGGTTTGGAATTTTCTTGCTTGGTTAGTTTGCTGCTGCCTTTTCTTCTTTCGGAGATCCTAGGGATTTGAAATCTATGCATGATGATGCTCTCTCTATATGCACGTTTAGAACTACTTCCCTAGCTTGGCTTTGAATCATATGGAGACTGACTTTATGCAGGAACTGCGGCGACTTCGTGTCGAATTCCAATGGAGTTCTATCTGGCCACAGAGATTTCAGTTCAAGCCATGAAATCTCACCTGCTAGCTCACTAATGGTTCATGACCTAGGGGTTCATCACTGGGCTAGCAACACCGAAGAAGGCTTCATGAACCAGCTGCCTGCCCATCAGCTCAACGTAGCGAAGGTCAAAGAGTTGTCAGAGAACTCTTTTCCCACGCTTAATCTAGACCACCAATTACACCAGAAGCTCTTGGCAAGAGCATTGGCCTCAGATCGCCAGATTGATGGCCTTCAGCCTCTCCTGGGACACTTGTCTGAAAGCTCGAGCTTTGCTCCTCCGACAGCTAATTTCTCACGCTCGAGTCCGCATCCGCCGTTGGTCGCAGGCTCATTAGACATGGATCTACATGAGTTGGATCTGCTGGCTTCAGCTAGATTAGGAAGGAGCTTCTGCCAGACTACGCTCACTGGAATGGCCTTGTTTGGAGAGGATGCAACTTCCGCGTTAGACCATCTTCAAGAATCAGTACTTCCAGGGCCATTTCACCACCACCACCTTAAGGTGGGTATACTAGCATTTCCAATCTAAACATCTGATGTGATGAACCTGATAGCACGTATAACCTTTAGAAGAACAGTGATAGTAGAGTAAACAGCACGGAAGCCTTCCTTTAAAAGATCAAGGAAAAAGCACAAAGCAAGATGATGCACTCCTATCCATCACACACTTGTGTCATAATGTATGGGTTTTCCTCACATAAAACACTTCATGATAATCTCTGCAGTCTTTGGCAACATACTTGTGAAGTTGTTGACCTCCAAGTAGAACTTTTGGAAGGTCCGATCATGAAATGTCAATTGACTGTCTGAGTCAAAATGCTCGTTGGAACTTTCTTGTTATTTTCCTATCGGAGAAGATCAGTACTTCCTTGGATTCTTCTGATGTTTGCAAGAGATTTCGAGATTTAACTGTTTTTTCGTTGCACCAGAGATCACTGTTCTCGTGTTCATCATTTCAGAAGTCCTACACTGATGCCATAGAGTACAAAGCACTTTTCAGCTTTACCGAGTGACATGAATCATCTTTTCTAAAGAAAGATTGCAGAAGTGTGTTTCTTTAGGGTTTTACATACACCAATCAGGCTAACACTCGAGGTTTTCTTCAACTATCGCTCAGATGCCATCTTTAGCAAGTGGAGTAGCAGAAGCACGGAGATGCAACAGCACTTGGGAAGACAAATCATCTCAAACACCACCAAGAAAGCCTCGGTTTGAGCAGCAGCGCTCGTCCTTCTCTCCTTTCAAGGTATGTTGCATCTGCTTGAGAGCATGCTTTTGAGTTCTTCAAGAGTAGGAAGTAATTGTAGCAGTGAATAAAGTCGAGGTTATTTCCTTTGTGTTTTCCTTGGTTTATTCAAAGGTGAGGAAGGAGAAGCTGGGCGATAGGATTGCAGCGCTACAGCAGCTGGTGGCACCATTTGGCAAGGTTACTCCTCCCATCTCTCTGTCACAATTGTTACTGCTTCTTGAGCGTAATTGGCGACGAACACATGGCGAGCTAATATATATATATATATATATATATATATATATATATATATATATATATATATATATAAACCCCATTTTTTCTTTAATACAAGAAAGAAAAGGAAAAAAAAAGAAAAAAGTATGCCGGTTAGCCTATCCTGTTGCTGCCAATTTATGAGCTCATAACATGTTTATCTACGGATGCAACACATACAGTAAAAGCTTCATCGCTTGATGTGCAGACTGACACAGCTTCAGTGCTAATGGAGGCCATCGGATACATCAAATTTCTGCTGGACCAGGTTGAGGTAATCACCATAAGTATATGTTGGGAAAAA